ACCTAATTGTGGATATCTGTTATCTGAGGAGAAATTCTGGAGACAGATACTCAGTGGGACTTTATGGCCATCCTCCAATTCTTGATTGCAATGAAATTGGGTCTCCTCAAATACGTTTTTTCGCCATAACATGAATATTAGAGAACCAGCACCTTCTAGGAGGTAGCTAGATAGACTGAAAGGTAGGTACAAAGCTCGGCCAGCAGCAAAGGATTCAGAGACTATAAAAACAAGGTTATGCCAAAGAGTTCAGTAGCACATAAGTAGCTGAACAGCACATAAGTAGCTGAGTAGCACTCAGAGCACACAAAATCTCTCCTCACCTAGTGTAAATAGATGATGTAATTATAAGTTAGAAAGGGAAAAGTCTAAGAAGTCTGAGCAGTCCTTTGTTCCCAATTTTTCCCTGTGCTTGGAACCATCATAGTGCAATTCTACTGGTATAAAGGTCATACTATTATACACACTGCAATGTGTTACAATTACAAACCTCCCTGGTAGCTTCTAGTCATTGCAAAATAATTGTTCTGAATTTTTGTAGAAGCCTTTTGTGGGCTTTTTTCACTCCTTCTTGATCTGTGCAGCTGACTCATAAGACTGGAAGAGGAGACAAAGCAGCTAATTGCTGCGGGAACTTACATTACTAAGATCTTGGGCTAAGCACACGAAGCTGGTTTTGATTCACTGAAATCTCGACACTGAAACTACTGTTCTCTCGTTCTTCAGAGCAATAGTTGGGTGTCCATTAATGTGACRGGAAGCAAACAAATAGCTGCAGCAATTGGAAGATAAAATGAGCAGAAAGGCTCTTTGTGTTGCATAGATGCCTTTTTAAATTTACAAAATGCCTGAAAGATTTTTTTTTAAGTCAATTAATCCTTGCTAGCCTTTAAGTGATTTTGCTTGGGCCATTTAAATCTAGTTTCTTAGCTGCCCATGCTGAAGAAAAGCTATCCTTCTTTCAAATCCCAGGAAAGACTCTCAAAAATAATTAATTCCAGGATTGGATCTCCAATGATGACAAAAGGAGTTGCAGCCTTCTTCCATATTAATATCTATGCATTAATACATGCCTTATGTACTTGCCCCAACCATAAGGCAAAGTGGTATTTGCCTAATTGYGTATCCTGCTTCATTACCTTCCTCTTTTCCTAGTTCATAGCAGAGCAACATCCAGATTTGATTCCTCCACATGCTGAGGTGATTATTCCAGATAAAGCTGGTGCCTAAATGCTAGGAAAACCATCTAGGCTGCCTTGCTTGGCTATGAATTGAAAGGTTTTCAGCATGCAGAAGTCTCATTGTAGCAGATTTGCAGATGTTATTGCCATCTTTTGATTTTAAAGTAAGCCAGGATGTGTCATTGACTCCAGAAAATTTATGCATGTGCTGAAATCTTCGCATGTGGTTAAGTGTGCTACTGTAAAGCTGCAAGGCAGGACCTTTCCTCTACCTCTGGCCTCCACCTCCTTTCTAGCAGAACACTTAATCACACACGTGCCTCTCCTGGGTTCCCTGAGCTGGTGCACACGTGCCCTATGCACAGAGCAAAAGCTAAGTGCTGAAAATGCTCTGGCGTCTTGGAGACAAGCAACATCCTGGGACGACTGTTCCTGGACACCAGTCCGTGCTCTGCCCTTTCATAAGAATCCTGCTTTTAGATAGCCAGGTTACTGCAAGYCTGCGAGATGTTGGATTGATGGCAAAGAAGGAAACTTTTTTTTTTTACAAATCCCGAAGATGAATCCAAGCTCTCTAGCAAAAGCTGCTGGAAACTAGAGAGGTCTGAATTCTCATGGGGCTCTGCACACCCACAGCAAAAATGCCCTACTGTAGTGTTACTTCTCTCATAGTCAGCTCCAATTATGGAAAGGGAGTATTTCTGCTCAGGGAAGCAGAACTTGTACTACAAATTGCATTACGAACACTTGTTTTCTCAGAGAACATGCCTAATTGAATGGCAGTGAGATGAATCTCTTAGTTCTTTGCCAGTTCTGGCCACCCACCCACTCAGCTGGATGAATCAGTTCTCTCCCTGGCAGCCAAATGGGGAATTAGAGGTAGCATCATGGTGAGAACCTGCTTGCAGTGAAGATGCCATTTTCTGTTCCACAAAAACCCCATCTCCTCCATACACCAGGCTGTCCAACTGGTAATATGGGCCTCTAGGGACCAAGACCCACCRGAAGTCTGAATATCATTGTAAGGAGTGGTTTGTTTATTTAGGGCTTTAACTATAGATTCAGGCTTGCACATGACTTACGTCGTCCTATGTTATATAGCATGTGATGTAGCCAAAGAATTATATGCTCACGTGTCCTATTTTCTTGTGCTTTGATTTATGAAGGATGTTGATTTCATTTGCAGCCTACATACTATTAAAACACTCCACGTAGGTGCAGTGATAATACCAGATTGAGACCAGGACTTGGAGAGGCACTTGCTTAAAATAATGCTGAGGCCAGTCCTGCCTCTTAGGGTTAGAGCGGTGGGTAGGTGGATGCTAGCTTGGATTTCATTATATTATTTTAATTAAATAATACCAAAGGCCCTGCGGKCAGCAAGTAGGCACCTTTTAAAATGCTATGCACTGCAAAGAACAGATGTAGTTCAATATGTTCTCTGTGGTGCCTTTCATTCTCTTTAGGGTCTTGGGCTAATAACCCACAAAGGAATTGATACCACTTTACTCAACTTAATGTGCACTGAATATACGTATGTCAATCAGCTGTCCATCAGCATTATCTTATCATGTTTATCATTTGTTCTGCTGACAGAACATGACTACCTTCCTGCACCCAGAAACAAACCTTGTCAGCTGTTTTACTGGAGAACTGCAAAAGCCTGCACGCATGTGCATCATTGTTCCTTGTGTTGGACACACATCTTTTCCACTTTTAAGTATAAGAAGTGTTTTTTATTATTATTTATTTAAATTGTATTGCCTTTTCCTTGTTTTTTCGTGTTTTAGTATGCCAAAGATAGATTGCTCTGTGACACGATCAACGTTCAATAATCTGAACAGAGGGAAGCRGAGAGATGATGTGAACTTCATAATACAAAGCATGTATAAATTAGGATAAAAGAAATGTTGTGTTTAGTATATTGGCCTTTGATGAAGGAAGTCAAGACATAGAATGAGGTCATAAATGTAACGAAAAATGAGTTTGTTTTTTTTAAATGTAGTACACTTAAGGTGCAATTCTAATAACCCACCAGTGGATGATCAAGAGGATGTCAAGAGCCAACTTTCCAAAATCTTAAYACCTCCAGATGTTGACCTGTTCAAACTACCAATGGCTTTACAACAGGCTGAAGCACAAATCCCAAATCCAAACTCTATGCCTGTGCTTCTTTGGAACGTAAATCTTCTTTTAGTCTCTGTATTTTGCCTTTTTAACACAGAAAAATGGTGAATAACCCATTAAATTTTTGGAACTTTGCCTTCAATTTCCTCCTTTTTCCTGAAGTTTTCTACTCTAAAAGACAAATAATTCTAAAGGAATTATCTAAAAGAGAAATAGTTCTAAATAATTTCTAAAAAGCATGTTGAAAAAGACACCTTTAAACTATAATTCAGATGGGCTCATAAACTATCTTTAAGCCATATTGTGATTTGCCAATTGACACTGATATTTTCTCAATGTGTTAGGTGGGCAATGTGGCATTTTTTTGCCAGACCACCCTTTGCATGAAAGCAAATGACCTTAAAAACTATTGCTACCTCCTGGTATAGTCTATGCRTAGAGTGCAGCAGTGCAGCCTGGCTGAGAAAGGCAGTTTGACGCAGGCAAAATAAGGATACCAGCCTGAGAGCCAAAAAAARCGATCCGGGAGAGCCTTGCTTGGATAGTTGAACCCAGGTTGCTTAGGTCCTTTTGCACAACGTTCTCCAGTACCATGTGGTACCCCMCTCCAGACCTTACTTCATGCACCGTGACAGCAACCAAGAAGCTTTCGCTGCTTTCAGAAGGAGCGGGCTCTGATCCCACTCCCACAAAAGGCACTTGATTGTTATAGATGGACTGCTGGTCTGAACCGGTACGTCAAATCCCACGTTAACTTAAAAAACATTAAAATGATAACTTCATCTCAAGTTACTTTCCTATTCATCTATAGAATTTCTCAATTATGTATGACTAATTTTGCACAAAGTCATTATTTGGAGCAATTTGTCTAAGTATGAGAGGCAACACCTTCAACCTTCCTGGATGGTGGGTGGGGAAAATGTCATAATCAGTTCTGCTTTGGCATGAGTTATTAAGCGGTCACAGGAGTTCAAAGGAGAGAAATAATGAACAGGTAAGTCATTACATGCAAAAATTCTTCTTCTATATTATCAAAATACAAATTAATTACAGATAAGATCAGATGAATTTTCTTTAATGTCAGTTTTTTCCCAGAGATGGTAATGAAAGCACAGAGTATGTGGGAGGAGAGGAGTGGAGATGTATGGAAAGGATGTTTTATTAATGTTGGCTGGATTTCACTGGGAAGACGTTGCCTGTGAAAGCAGCAAAGGAATCAGGAAAGGCTCTGGGACATGCAAATAAAATCATTTTTATTGCACTTAGTGTGCTAACTCATGCATGATCTCATTCAGGCTCTCAAAGCAATCATAAARCTATCTCCATGCAACAATTACTCCATCAGCCAATGCAATCAGCAGGTAGGGCAACTGGCAGCCCTTGCCACAGGATCCTCCTGAATTCATTAGATTGTGGTCGGGATACCCGAACAAGTTTTCCATTCTTGATTTTTAAGAGGATGACCGTAACTAAAGTGAACATGTGACTCATCCGAGTCAATAACTAAAAAAGCCCACCCCGCCCCCCTCCCCACTTTTACATGCAATACTAATATTCACATGACAACAAACATTTTCAAAATAATAGTCCTATATACTTAAGGCTAATCAGAGCGGGCGCCATCCAACTTGCAAAGGTAGCAATTTTCCTTCATTAAAGCCAAATCAGGAGAGAGAACTTCAGGATTCCTTAGGGCTAATTACAAGGTGTTAATAATAACAATATAATGGCAGCAATTTTCTAGCTTTGCCCAAACCTATAATCTGCCCTGAGTACCTTACAGGATTGTCTCTGAGTTTACATAAAGCCAAGYGTTAGCCCAAAATGTTTTAAGTAATTTAATTTTTACATCATGTCTCTCTCCGGTCTGTTTGCAGCAATGTGGTAATTGCCAGTGGAGAGCGTTTTTGCTGGGGAAGAGGACAAGTAGCAGCACGACCGCTCCGAATAACCTTCTCCCATCCTCCCCGGAGCRCACGTTACATCCAGCAATGCTCAGACCCGGGCAGCTGCCTGCTCCAGCCCAGCCTGCCCAGAGGGACCAGGGCAGCATTTCTGAAGCCCTTCTGCCTGCAGCCGAAGGCAATGAGCTAACTGATTATAAAAGAGCTCGAGACAAACAACAAACAGACAAACGTACAAATTATTTTCGCATCCACCGCCTAATTGCTTGTTGAAAACCCTCTAGGACTCTGTGATCAAATGCGGCGCGTTGCTGGAGTGGTGGTGATTCACTCGGCAGAAATTTTGAGCCACACAGGCAAAGCAACAGCCTCGACACTGTGAGGGATCCTTGAAATGCAATTTTAAAATGCGAATTGCTGTGTAGTTGCTCTCTAGGTTGCATCTAGCAAGCTCTCTCTGGGAGCAGGTCTCCCTGATGTCTGGAGGGCTTTCAAGCCCAGGTCGTAATCCTGAAAATCCTGTAGTCTGACATGCAGCACAAAGATGAGAGAGAGAGACAGCTCAATACAGGCAGAAAGCTGAATCTCAAATTAATCCCTTGCCAGATTTTGAAATTGACTCACTACTGATCTGGATGCTGCTCTCACCCTTGTGATCACTTAATTTGACAATGTAATGGCATAATGTAATATAAATTGCACTTGAAAGCAATGCGGCGTTCAAGGGCTTTGGAAAAAAAAATAGTTTTTTGTCATAAAGAGATCAGAGGTCTAGTTCTAAAGAGGAAGAAAAAGCTAAAAACATATTTTACATTTTTTTCCCCAGTGAAAATATATATACCTAGTACGTCAAATTTTAGCCCAAATCAAAGCAATTTATGAATGAATTCTGACTTTCCTCACAGCTGACATAAGTTAATTCTCACTGAAAAAAAAAAGAGGAATTATGGAAAATGGCAGAATTTTTAGTGTTTTCGTTCAGAAATGAATTAAAGACACCTTACAGAGTTAGGATGCAAGACCATATTCATTTCAAATCCTATTGCTGGTTGCGAAACTTCAAAAAAGTTTTTTTTTTTTTTTTTAATGGGTCAAATTTCTAAGAATTGGGAAGCTTGCCCATATTGGATCTTCAAAAAATAATTCTGAAATCTCATAAAAGAGTTTTGTCTAGGAAGTTTCTGGTACTACTGAGGTGACAAATAGTGCTTGGTTTTCAACTAGAGCTGAGAAGAGATAAGAAAAGAAAATAAGTAGCTGGGTTCAATGACAATTTTTTTTTTTACCCCACAAAAGAGGAATGTGCATGAGAAAAATATGCAGCGTCCATATGAGAAGGAAATAATTTTTCTGCTTCAGCAGCACACCTATTTTTAGGATCTCTTCCTAAATTGGCCCCATTTTCTGACATATTGTATAAAGACTAGGTCTGGAGTTGAGTCAGCTGAGTTCAAGGGGTGATTCTGCTACTATCTTAGCAGATAACCCCGGGAGAAACAACCAGTTCTCCACTTCCGTGCTACATCTCACTTCTCTTTTCAAAAGCTCCATCAACCTCTACTCCAAAGTCCTTCCTGCTTTGATGTCTAGAGATGAAAAGCATTATTTGAGGTAAGAAATCACAGCTGAGCCCTAATCTAAAAGAATCAGTGGCTACTAATGATGAGTGATTTAGTTGCATAGAACTAATTTTTGTCTCTCTATGTGTTTATTTTATTAGAAAGTTATCAGGTCAAATGGCGATAGGAGGATAGAGGGTATTTCTTGGGGATAAACTACACTCACCAAAAAAAAAAAAAAACACACACACACACACCACAGTTTTCTCCTCCTTCCTCTTCACAATTTACCATCATAAACTTATTACAGAGCAGGAACCATTCTTTCCTGCTTGCAATCAGATGCAATTCCAGCACTAAGTAAATTGAGCATTTCACACCCATTCACTAAAGTAAATTTGTCCTGATTTATCTTCTATACTTGTCAAATGCTGTGCCAAGAGGTATAAACAAACGATTTTCTTGGATTGTTTCAAGATAATCATATTAATGTATTTGCTTTATTGGCTTTGGGTGTTGTCCAAGTGAAAAATGCTTGAAGTAGGGTCCAAAACCAGCTTTATTTTATTACCGGTTCTGGTGCTAATGGGGTCTCACTGATCTTCTGTTAATGTCAATGGACCAGGGCTTTCATAAAGGAGATTTTCAGTGGCAGCTCATCATCAGTTTATTCCTGCAAAATGTCTCATTTAATAAATCAGTTACACAGAGTGTGAGACAACAGCAGAGCATGACATTTAGTTTGGACTGCTTGTCCACTGCAGTCAGGGAGTCTTAGTGGCTTCACGTGGGCTGAGATACATAAACACCTATGATACACTACATACAATTAGGCCATACATTCAGCAGACGTGGGGCCAGAAAGGGTAATACCAAAGACTGAAGGAGTCCGTACCTCAGCCACCTATTTTAACAACACTCTTAGGAAGAGAAGCATTAACCAAGGGAGCTTGTCCATCGTGACAAAACTCAGCTTTGCCCATGCAAAAGGCTGAAAGGATAAAAGATAAGGAAAAAAATAGAGTGACAAAAGCATCATTTGTTTCACTGCTCACACCATTTCAATACACCTGAAAATCGGGACTGATATCACCCCTGAACTCAGCCTTCCCTGGATCTGTTGCAGTTTATGAAGTAACAGGATCAAGCAGGACACGGTTGCAGAGACCTTGTTTTGTGACGGAAAACCGCCTTAAAAAATGGGTTAATGATGCAAGTCCTGGCTTGTAGCGAAGGCACAGTTCTGATTAGGGTGAAGCACTGAAGGTGAAATTCAACAGCAGAGTTAAAACGGGGCACGGATCTCTCACTGGAGCACTGCTAAGGGTGAGAAAAACAGACCTGRCATTGATGGGAAGGCAGACATTGATCTGTATGGACCAGTGGTGCTGAGCAGCAATGCTGCCACCATCCCTCCTAAACTAGTTTTGTGATACCAGATCTCCAGGTGCTTTGCAGAGATTTCTGTTATCATTTGCTTTTTGGCACCGTTTGGTAATTGTGGTCTCATTCAGTGATGGGACTCATGCTAGGTGTTCCCCAGACCAGCTGCAGCATTTCAAATACGTCTTTCCTGAGTCCTAAGTCCAACACAGCACTTGAATCTGCTTAGAGTTCTTTCCTCAGTGGGTCTCATTTCTGGGGAGGAAGTGGGCTAGGAAGATTTTTAAATGAAAAGGTCTCAGCGAGCTTCGTATCTGTGGCTCTGCATCCCTGCACTCTGGTTCCTGATTCCTTGCAATACAGAATGCTTCATGGAAAAGCTCCTTGGATTGTACAAACTCCTGACACATCCACATCCACCAAATCATAATAATAGCATTAAAAAGATTCATTCAGTGCCTTGTCCTTCTTTCRCCATTCTTGTAATTTGTGTCTCCCCTCTTTCTGCACATCGATTTCCTATTCTTTTCTCACGGAGGTGACTGAGATTAAAGGTTTATTGTGGCTGATTATTCAGGAAAGTCCCACTTTCTAAATCTGGTTCTAATTAAAAAGGGGTGGTGGGGAAAGGGAAAAAGCCCTCCTTACTGTACACAGAGGCAGCCTAATCCATCCTGCTGACTTTCATAGGCATGAGTTTCTATTATAGTATTAATAAGCTATTTTCCTAGATTTATGTTTCTTAACCCTCCTCACCCCAGAGATTTTTTCGGATGTGAGCTGTAGATGTCATTTCGAGAAAAGATGGGCATCTGACTTGAGCCTGAGCATCAGTTTATTTATGAGGGAGGGGGCCAGGAGTTCAACCCTTGTATTCATAACAGGGCTAAGCAAACAGGTCCAACCCAACTCTAAGCCATTCTAAATAGACTAAAGAGCTGGTAACCTAACTCCTGACCATTACTAGAGTTCACATTTAGGTTGTGATTTTACTYCATTCCCAAATGTCACTTCATCCTTGCTTTTCAGGAGCTTATTTTCAAGGATTTATGAAATGTGAGATGACAAASCTGGTGCAATAATGTTGTGGAGATTTTGCCCTTAGCTCACCCTAGGAAGTATTCTACACAAATGGTGTGGAGATAGCTTCCAAGAACAGCCTGATTTCCCCTAGGGAAAAAAAAATAATAATATCTGAGCTGTGTGCCATTAAAATGAAAAAGGTGGGAGGGGGCTGAGAAGGACATTAATCAGAACTGGTGAAAAAAGGCAAAATTTCTCTTGCTTGGGGAAAAAAATGAGACAGATGAAAACAGGGAGATGAAAAAATGCACTTATGGGAGGACGGAATAGCTTTCCCATGATTTGCCCATATGCAGTTTGACAGGCATGCCTCCACGCAATCTGCCTTTGTTATAGAAACCAGAAAGCTCCCTTTAATTCCCTTTTGTCTGTTTTATCACTATTATTATTTGCTCCTAGTAATACAGCACATAAACTATATATCTGGATTCTGGCAGCCATGGAGTGAAAGGCCACTAATAGTTTTTATGTACAAATACGCTGAACCTCAGATTAGGGTTAGAGCAGAAGTGTTATTTCTTTCTAGAGAACTTCCAGGATTATGGTTTGATGAAGCTTTTAGAAAAGTGGTATCATATGAGAATAAAGCTGTTTCTCCCTCAAAGCTACCAACTGCCTCCCATAGCAGTTTTTCAACACATTGCCTACTTTCATTTSCACAACATGACTTCTGACTCCTGTGAGCACTAGCACTTGACCCAAAGCACCTGGCAGATGTCTCCAGTGAGACCAAGGTGGGACCCCACATACATGTATTGTCAGAGGACAGGAATCAGAATTAAGGAAAGAGATGGAAGGAAAAGCTRCTTTATTCTACTGGGAGATTATTCTTTTCAAGGTAATATATTCTCTCCCAGACTTATTTGCAGAGGCTAATAGCCCTGCAATAATAAAGGACATATATAGTAATTTTTCAGCCTTAAAGAAATCATGAAAAATACAGGGGGAAGTTGATCATAGTCAGATTCCTCCAAGCCTCTCATAGATCCCAGGCCATTATCTATCAAGATACGAGCAGAAAACCTCCTGTAATCCTCTGAATGCAAATAAGCTGGCAGTTCAAGATCCTTCTATCTATGTTACCTTCTATGCTCTCTGAATCTCTTATATGACTTAGAAAAGTACATTAAAATGACAGAGAAAAGTTAGTTGAAAAGTATCAGGTGCAGCCACCTTGCTTGCAGGAGACCCATACTGTCCTCAAAACAAACATAGCCCCATATCCCACACAGGACAGGCCAGCAAAGCTAAAGTAGCTGCCCTAGATGAGGAWAAAATACATTAAATACCATATCCTTCCTAACTAGCGAAACAGAAAAAGAGGCAGGAGGTGCGAGTGCCTCCATCCTACCAGACACCTATTGCACAAACACAGCAAACTAGAAAGGCAGTGAAGATGCTCATTTAGTTTTGTGCCCTTTGAGCAATTGCTCCTCCTRACAAGAGGCAATGGCAGCTTGAGGGACAGCCAAGCTTTCAGGAATGCTGAAACCACAAACTT